CCAGGGACAAGCACTCTATAATCTCTTATTCTCTGCACTTTGGTCAGTTACAGCTTTCTATGTTAATCACCCTGTGTTGCATGAAGAAGCTTCACTGGTAAGAACTGAGAGATGCATTAATTCTCTCTATCCCTGTTCTGCTATGTTCTGTGAGCCTGAGGTGTAGAGGTTCTATTGTAGATGTGTCACTTAGGACTGGGCACCTCACAGACACTTATTCTCTGTGTTTGACCAGTTGTGGAACTCTCCAGCTGTTGCGAAAAGAAGCTTCTTTGATGGGTGGTGAGAAGTACACTTTTCTATAAATATAAGGATAAATGTTTAGCAAACAGTAAGAAATTATGTTTATTTAGGGGTATGGCAGACATAGGTTTTTCTCTAGGATCTATGACCTCTCCAACCATGTGTATTTGGCTATATTTACAGCACACACACAGTTCCCTTCCATCAAGCTGGTTTTAAGTCCAGTTAGATAGCTGCTGATTCTAGATAAAAGTGCCACTACTGTACCAATTGAGTTAGTTTGCTGTGTTGGTCATTGTTGTAGTTATTAGGTTTTACTGCTGGGGTTTGACCATTGACTGATTTTTCTCCCTTAGTAACTTGCATTGTATCCTCTGATACTGTGAGAGCTCGTCTTCTGTGAGGAGGTTTCCAGATCAGTTCCAGCACCATTGCTCCAAGTTCTATGATCGAAATATATCCTGCCTTCAACAATAGGGTCTTACCTTTAAGTTCTAGGAGGCAATCAAGGGCTGTGGCAATAGCCTTTGTTATTTTGGTAGTCTCTTGGACCACCCTAACCAACAACTGGAAGGGAGGTTTCTCCTGTCTGGCACTGTGTTTCTTGTCATATAACCTTCAGCTATATACATGCACTCAAATACATATATTGTATGTGTATTTTTCAGTAGGATTTTGACCTCATACATTCCCTCTGGTTTTCCACACCACCTATGCATTATTTATCTCTCTCATCTCTTTCCCTGTCTAATCCTCCCCTCCTCCTTCCTCAGTTAAAGTATCCTCATTTGCCCTATTTTCCCCTTGGTAATACCTGTCTCCTACTATCCCCCTCTTTCAGGCTCTTTCCTTTTACCTCCATGGTTCCTTCGTATTTTCAGGACTCCTGCAGTTACATCAGGATATATAGTCACATATAAGGATTTGAAACTAAGATCCACAAATGAAAGAGGACATATGTCACTTGTTTTGAGTCTGTGTTGCTTCACTCAGTATAACAGTTTCTAATTCTAGCCATTTACCTACAAATTTCATGCCATTACTGTATTCAACTTGGTGGAATTGCAGGTTATATGATAACTCTCTGCCTAACCCTTTGTTATACTGAGAGATTGTTTTTGCAAACAAGAAATGTGTATCATTTTCCTACCTACCGGCAGTATTGTCAGAGTTTTGGTTTTTCCCCATCTGCAGTAACAGTTGTCTGTTCCCTAACTGAGCCTCATTTTCCCTTTCATCAGCTGTTCCACCTGGTTTCTACTTATAGTAAGACCATATATTTAGAGCAAACTGGGGATGCCAGGGTAGCCTTACTTGGGAAATTCTCTACTCATGACCTTTTGTACTGAAGGTAAAAAATATTTCTCTAGCATTCCTGCTTTAAAGCCTGAACATTAAAGATGTATAAGGTTAGAGTCTGTGAAAATGGGTTGCATGGATTAACTTACCTTTTTAATTTTGCACAAGTGTTGATTTTGTTCTTTTAACCTATAATCTTTCCACCATACTTAATTTGTTGGCTGTATGGGGTTATGTGTTTTTAGACATTGTATCTAGGGATTCACCTCTGTCTCTATCTCTCTGTTTCTTTCCCTCTTCATCTCCTCCTTCCCCTCTCTAAATCTCTGAATTCAAGTAACTATTATGAGTTTGTTTAAAGTTTTTTAAATGATGGTACTGAATTGTAATATTGAGTCGGGACTACCATCTATATTGTGATTTGGAAATTTAATGAGCCAATCTCTTCGTGATGTTGTCTTTCTAAAGATGATGGAATATACCAAGTATTTTATGAAATCTTTTACTATCATAGCTTAATTCCAAAACCAACATTTAACTGCTGTAAACCTTTATGCACATTAAAACATGGGGAGTTTAAATTTTGCTTTAGCTTGTTTAGTTTTTTCATCATGTTGTAAGGCTATCATCATCTGTTGGAATTTTATTTTGATTCTTAATAACTTAGATATAAATACCATTGTTTTAGACAAAACTTCAGTGGCTCTGTGAGGAACTGAAAGAGAGAGAAAACAGAGAGAAAACTCTGCGGCGGCAGCTGGTGCTCTGCAAACAGCAGCTCAGGGATGTGACTGAGCACAAGGAGTCTGAGCTGCAGTGTCTGTTTGAACAGATCGAGAGGCAGGAGCAGCTTCTGGAGGAAATCCACCAGGAGAAGAGAGGTGGGCCCATGACTCTCCCCCTGTTCTTCCTTTCTGTTCATTGTCACGGGTTGGAAGTGCCTACTGGCACTGCTTCCACTTGGGGCTTTGCCTGTGGGCTGCTTTGCCTCTTCTCATCGTTCTTCAGTTTTGAGACCAGCAGAATAAACTGTTGAGTCCTGAAAGCTTTCTCTTGGCCACAGTGCCCTGCTTATATGTGTTGTACATGTATCTACCTGATATTTGCAGGCATTAATTTGGTAAGACCCTCTCTTCTCCCCGGGTAAAAAACTAAAGGTTTAATTTTTTATTTACTTCCGGAAAATGTTCATTCATCCAATAAATAATTGTTTTGTATTAAGGAAAATTCTATCTGAGAATATACCAGTGAACAAATACAGCAAAGAAAAAGTCCTCCACCTTTATTCAGCTTGTATCATACTGGGTGGAGTGAGAGAAAATGAATGCAATGGATAGATGAATGAACACATATTAGAAGCTGTGAGCACATGGTGAACATAATGGGGCAAGAAAAGGAAAGTTTGGAAGACTGAACTGATGGCAGTGTTTAATATTTAGATATTTCTAACTTTAAAAATTGGACAGAAGACTTAGAAAAGTACTTTTTTTTTTTTTTTTTTTTTTTTGAGACAGGGTCTCCCTGTAGCCCCAGCTGTCCTGGAACTCACTATGTAGACCAGGCTGGCCTTGAACTCATAGAGAGCCATCTGCCTCTGCCTCCTGAGTGCTGGGATTAAAGGCGTGTACTACCACTCTGGGCAGAAAAGTACTTTTTATAGTACGATATCTTATAATAGGAAAAAAGAAATTATGTGTAGAAATCCTGTGGAATCATATTTGTTGCCATTAAGCTATTGTTTTAGTGTCTTATTGGTGAACTTTATTAAAAGTTATGGGAGTGCGGCTGGAGAGATGCCTTACTGTAGAATACTGGATTTGGTTCCCAGCACCCACATGGCAGCTAACAACCACCTGTAATTCCAATTCCAGGGGATCCAATTCCCTCTTCTGGCCTCTATGGCCATTGTACAACATGGGTACAGTTACATACGTGTCGACAAAACACTCATATACATAAAATAAGCATAAAAGAATCATGGGAGGCTTAATATACTATCCCCTTAAAATCTGAACATTCGCATATGATAATCTTTTTACAAATATCTTATTAAAAAGTAACTATAATTTTGTGTACAAGGAAAAATTGAGTGTTAAAAAACAAGTAATATCTTAATAGTAGTATTAAGGTGACTTGGAACAGCTAGGCCATGCTCGGAATTGTTAACCTAAGGCATTAAATATTGTAGACTGTAGAAAACGTCACAAGATGCTGTTGTATGTTTTTAATGACAATTCAATAACAACTGATTATAGAAGTTTTAGATTGAAGCTGTGTGAATTCTCTACACTTTATGACTACTCCCTACTAGACACTAGATTACAACTCAGGTTCATTTTCCATAAATACTTGTGTATTTGAATCTGTAATCATTTCTTTATATGAGAATTAATGTGGTTTCATTATACATGAAACTATCCATGGGAGAAATTCAAAGGAGGTAAATATTTGTATACTTAGATAATTATAGTCAAATTATAAAAGCTTGGAAGGTAAATCTCTAAAGTTCATTATTTCTCAGTACAATTGCTTTTCTTAATTTTTTTTAAATCACCTGGTTTCATTAGAGTCTTTTAATTCTTTACACATCTTACAATCCATTTCCCCCAAAGAATCTCCTGGTGTTTAATAAGAATATGTTGAATCTATAGATTAATTTTAGGAGAAAGGCTATCTTGAGTCCTCCAGTCCACTAATATGGCATTATTGGTTTGCTTATTAAGGTTTCCTTTAATATTTGTAGTATTCAGTAAATAGGCCTTGCACATCTTCATTACTTCATTCCTATTTATTTAGTGAATTAAAATGATATAATAAATGGCATTTAAAGGTTACAAGTTCCGGGGCTGGAGAGATGGCTCAGCGGTTAAGAACACTGGCAGTTCTTGCAGAAGACCCAGGTTCGAATCCCAGCACCCACATGTCAGCTAACAACTGTCTGTAACTCCAGTTCCAGGGGATCCTACAGCGTGCATACACATAAAATAAAAATAATAAATAAAATATTTTTAAAAATTTAAAAAAAGGTTACAAGTTCCAAAGATTATTTCTATTATGTAGACATAAAAATCTTTAAAAATATTAACACTGTATTTTGCAAACCTGTTAACCTCATTCAGTGGTTCTAGTAACTTTTAGTTTGTCTGTTGGCTTTTGAGACAGGCTCTTGCTGTGTAGCCCAGGCTGCCCTGGAACTCATGATCTTCCTGCCTGAGCTTCTGAGTACAGGCTTACAAGGTTGCTTCATTTCCCCACATTTTCTAGTAGCCTTTGTTAGTATTTATGGATTCGTAGCACTTAATGTTTTCTTGGTACACAATCATATCCTTTGAAAATGTGCTTTTGCTTTTTCTGTTTTTTTTTTTTTTTTTTTTTTTTTTTTTTTTTTTTACTAGATGAGATGGCCAGGAAATAGTAAATGAATTTCTTTTCCTGAAACAAGCTTCACTGTTCTGTCACTTACTTTTCCCTTTACATATGGATGGATTATGTCCATTAACAGTTAATAATTGCTTCTATGTTCATCAAGAAAATTGGTCTATATCATTTTTCCTTCTGTGTTATAAATTTCATTGCAATTTTGGCTTCACTAAATAAGCTGAATTGTTCTTTTGCATTTATTTTAGGGGAACATTTGTATAAAGCTTATATTTTTGTTTTTAGATGTATAAGAGAGATCAGTGTACCTAGGCCTATAGTTTTTTTTTTTTTTTTCCTTTGAAGGGCTTTACGAGATATATGGCCATTCAGAAATTCTAGTTCCTCTTGAACCATTTTTATTAACAAGTGCTTTAAAGGTATTTGTCCATTTCATCCAAATTACTGAATTCATTAAAATAATGAATTTTAATGAAATAATGAAATGTTTTTGTACATCCTATTCCCCCTCCCCAATTTGTTTTTCTGTGACAGGGTCTCTTTGTAGCCCCACTGCCCTGCAACTTGCTATGTAGGCTAGGCTGTCCTGTGTCTCACAGGAATCCACCTGCCTCTGCCTCCCAAGTTCGGGGATTAAAGGCATGTGCCACTCTGCCTGGCCAGGGAACATTCTATTTCTTCATTTTATTTTTTTTAAAAAGATCTGTATTGGTATTTCCTATTCTTTTTATTGTTATTTTGATTTGCTCTTCTGTACTTTCTAAGTCTCTCTTAGTATTTAAAGAATATTTTCAGCCAAATAGTACTCAGATGTTTATTTTTATCTTTATATTTTATTGATCTCTACTCTTTTGTTTCTTTTTTCTTCTTACTTGTTTTGTGCATTGTTTTTTCCTTTTTATATACTTAAGTTGAAATCTTTATTTCCATACCTTTCATTCCTGATGCAGTCATTTAAAGTTATATATTTTTATCTTAGCAATTTGTCCCATTTTTGATTGTTTCTATCCATACCGAGAGATTGCTAAAATACCCCACTGCAACTATGAGTTCCTCCCTCCCTTGGCTCCTCCCTCCTTCCCTCCCTCCCTCTCTCCCTCCCTCCCTCCTTCCCTCCCCCCACTTCCAAAACTCTTAGAAACTATCATAAGATTGGTTATTGGAGTGCATGCAGTTGGCACACACAATTGGCTATTACAGTTTGTAAAACGGAAAGAGGAACTGAATAAACATTTGTGGTGAAATTTGAAATCTGGGAACAACTGCAGAAGATATTATGGAGAACACAGCACAAGATTCGACAGGGTAGATTTTGAAGAGACGACTCCTGAAGTGAGTTGTTTTGACATTGAGAGAATCCAAAAGTCAGGAATTTAGGAACTTACTTGATCCAAGAAAAGAGGGCTCAATTTTTTATGTTCTATAAAACCATAAATGAATAATAGTTTTGGAAATGCCCCAAATTTCAGAACTGAGAGGTGATGGATTAATCTCTTGTCTTCTGTTGAATATGTAGGGTGATGTCAGGTAGGTAAATTCTGAAATAATGAAGTTTTTAATCTGCTGCAAAACAAATGATGTTCTAGTTAAAGAGTTATGAACATTTTAACAATGTAGAATATAATGGATATGGCATTAAAAATATAATAAGCACTGTATTCTTGTTGAAAATGGAAGTAGTGATTAGTTTTTGGATCATACACAGACATATGTATGAGATGCCATTTGATTTGGATCTTAAATATGAAGGATTGCATAAGAAAAAGGATGAAAGAGTCTCTGCAGGACTTGTAAGCATGACATTTTCCTGCTTACTCAAGTGTTCTTTTATTTTGGAACCCATACATTTTTGGGTGGAGGACAGCAAAACTGATGTTTATGTTTAGATGTTTTTGAAGTGTTAATGTTTGCTGCACAATTTTGTGTTACTTTCCCAGCATCATCTTAGAAACTTACTGTGAGATAAAACAAGGTTAATTTATAAGTGAAACAGGACAAAGAGATTTCCTACATACTGGAATTATTGCTAGTCTTAGAGCTAATATTTTCAGCTGTATGTGACATTCACTACATCTCCTGAGACCTAGACTCAAGGATTTATACCAGTGGGTAGTACTAGGCTTGTAGATCATAGATTTAGATGTCTTATCGTCCTTGCACTGTTTTTGTCTTGTATGTTAGGACTGGGGTGTTGCAAAGGGAGAGAGAATTTATTAAGGGGTTAATGTCATTGGTCTTAGAGGCTGAGAATTACTGGATGAGAAGTTCCTTCATTCCCTGAGTGGCAGCAAAGAGAAGCACAGGCACGTTCAACTACAGTGGGGAGATGCTGGTATGACATAAGAATTCTCTGCAACTGTGAGGCTTATAACTAAAATTTGTCTTGAAGTAGAAAGGGTTTGTGTTTTCAAAGGTTTTTGAGGGCGGAGCATTAAAATTACACTCTTGGTCCAAGCAAAGTGATAGGTATTAAACCTTGTAGAAGGCCGCTTCCTTAGCTTAG